TTGTGTACTTTTATGTCACCTGGGTTGTGAACACCTCCATCCGAGGAGGGGAGAGAGGGCAGGAGGACGATTCCAGTTAATAAATGCTTGTGAGGCTGGGTGCGGTGGCTGATGCCTGTAATCCCAGCACTTTGGGAGGCTGAGGTGAGAGGACTACCTGCGCCCAAGGGTTCGAGACCAACCTGGGCAACTTGGTGAGACCTTGTCTCTACATTAAATAAATAAATAAATAAGTTGGACGTGGTGGTACGTGCCTGTAGTTCCAGCTACTTGGAAGGCTGAGGCGGAAGGATCACCTGAGCCCAGCAGGTCAAGGCTGTGTTGGCTGTGAGCACACCACTGCCCTTCAGCCTGGGTGACAGAGTGAGACTCCAACTCAAAAAAAAAAAAAAAAAAAGCGTTTGTGGTGATGGAATATTACACAGCCATAAAAAAGAATGAAATCATGTCCATTGCTGCAACTTGGATGCAGCTGGAGACTGTCATCATTCTAAATGAATTATCACAGAAACAACTGAATACTGTTCTCACTCATAAGTGGGCACTAAACACAAGCACAAGGATGGGAACACAAGACACTGGGAACTGCTGAAGGAGGGGAGATGAGGGCTACAGGACCACCCGTTGGGTACCACACTCCCCACTGAGGTGGGGGGGCACTTCCTCAGAAGCCCACACCTCCCCGTCACACAATATCTCATGTAACATTGTGGGCTGAGTGATGAGACCACTCCCTCTCCTTGCCCAGGCAGTGTGTGATCCACAGATCTGCTTCTGTCCCCAGGGGACTGTGAGGTCAAGTGGTATCAGACTGGCCTATGGAGCCCATGGGCTTCCATCTGTCACTGGGGGACATGGGAGAAGGTGGAGGGGAACATGTAGGGGGAAGCTGTGTGGCACTTTATCCATGGAATCCCCGACCTATGAACAAGTTCTGTTCCAAGAGCATGCTGTAAGTCCCATTTAAGTCCAGCAAAGTTAACCTAGGTACTCAACAAACACAATGGGCTCTGTAGTTCTGCATGCATTTATCAAGTTATACTGACCCCTGGGGAAGAGAAATAATCCATAAAAAAGCAGATGTGCATCGTTACAGTTCGTGACTTGAAGGTTCTTATGTAGGGGACTCATTGTGTTTGCAACATGTCTGTCACTAGGGAAGACGTTATGCAGTTGTGGGTCTTGGGGTCTAATGTCCTCCAATGAGTGACAGCTGAGGGATGTTCCTTGAGTTCTGGACCTGGTGCCTCTTGGTCTTACTTATTTGTTTATGACCTTGCTGTTACATTTAGGGGAAAGGGGCCCACGTGAACGTAGGCTTCTGGCTCATTTCTTATTGGCTTCTGCTTTCTCAATTCAGAGGGAAGGCTGGGGGGACCCGGAGTGAAAGACTGGCCCCACACTCCCACCTTTCTGGTGGACAGGAATGAGTTGTAGCAGCCAGGGTCTCCTGGAATGCCAGGTTTTCCTTCTTGGAACAGAGCTGGTCTGTACACCTCTCAGAGGGTCTCAGCAGCAGGATAACAGGGTGGTGGCTTAGCCGGTTGCTTCTAAGAAGAGGAGAGGGCTTCTCTGACCATGAGACTGTAGAAGAGACTTGTGGCTCTTATCGACCACTGCCAGATGTGTCCAGCTGCTTCACTTCTGCTCTGTCCCAACCAACTGTATTTGGTTCAAAACAACACTTGCGTCATCAAAATAAAAGTGTTGACAGTGTTAAATCTCAGGCTTTTAGTCAGTCATGAGTCTGGTGACGCAGGGAGTGTCCTTGCATGTGTTACGTCTGGGGAAACCCAGGCCCAAGGTTGATCTTCCGGCCCTTCCTGAGTCCACACGGTTTAAGGTGCCAGCTCTGGGTCACCGACTGGTTGTGGGGGAGGCATCCAGCCTCTTGCTTTCCCTTTTGTCCCATGAACGCCTTGTCCCACAGCATGGCTCACCCACCTGCCCTGGCTAGACCCAGAGACATGAGTCCACTCAAGATTCTTTGGCTGCTTTTCAAAGTTATTTTTATTTTATATTAGAATCATGGGGTACGTGTGAGGATGTATTACATAAGGATATTGCATGAAGGTGCGGCTTGGGCTCCTGACAAGCCCATCCCTCCAGCCCCCTAGTGGTGGGCATGGTGCCCGCTGGGTTGTTTCGTATTCATTTATTTGTTTTTTGAGTTGGAGTCTCACTGTGTCGCCCAGGCTGAAGTGCAGTGGCATGCTCACGGCCATTGCAGCCTTGACCTGCTGGGCTCAGGTGATCCTTCCACCTCAGCCTTCCAAGTAGCTGGAACCACAAGTATGTGCCACCACGCTTGGCTAATTTTTTATTTATTGTAGAGTTGCCAAGTTGCCTAGGCTGGTCTCGAACTCCTGGGCTCAGTCAGTCCTCCCAAAGTGCTGGGATCGCAGGTGTGAGCGGTTCTTTATCTCTTACTCCCCCTTTGTTTCTCCTTCTGTCCCTCTGTCCGTCCCCCCCTCCTTAAGCAGTGCCTGGTATCTGTTCCGTCTTTGTGTCCTTATGTCCAGTGTTTAGTACCCGCTTATGAGCGAGAACACGCAGCACTCAGTTTTTTGTTTCCATGGTGATCACACAGAATGATGATCTCCAGCTGCTTCCATGTTCCTGTAAATGCCATGATTTTGCTCTTTTTTATGACTGTGTCATATTCCACCATGTGTACGTACCACATTTTCTTTGTCCAGTCTGCTATCGACCGGCATCTGGGCTGGTTCCATGCTTTGGCTATTGTGAATAGTGGGGCAGTGAACATACGAGAGAAGGTACCTTTCTGGTAGAGTGATTTCTGCTCCTTTGGGTATTTTCCCAGGAGTGGGATTGCTGAGTCAAATTTGACAAAGGCCTCAGAATCTGTAAGGAACGCAAGCAAATCAACAGGAAAAAACAACCCCATTAAAAAGTGGGCAAAGGACACAAACAGACACTTCCCAAGGAAGACATACAAGCAGCTCTCAGACACATAAAAACGTGCACAGCCTCACTAATCATCAGAAAAATTCAAATCAAAAGATACTATCTCATATCGGTCAGGATGACTGTCACTAAAAAGTCAAAAATCAACAGGAACTGGCGAGACTGTAGAGAAAGGAGAATGCTTCTACACTGTTGGTGGGAGTATAATCTAGTTCCACCCCTGTGGAGAGCAGTATGGAGAGTTCTCTTTGCTTTTTTTTTTTTTTTTTTTTGAGTTGGAGTCTTGTTGCTCAGGCTGGAATGTAGTGGCACACTGACGGCCACCGCAGCCTTGACCTGCTGGACTCAGGCGATCCTTCCGCCTCAGTCTTCCAAGGAACTGGAACTATAGACACATTCCACCATGCCTGGCTAGTTTTTGTGATTTATTGTAGAGACGAGGTCTCACCAAGTTGCTTAGACTGGTCTTGAACCCGAAGACTCAGGCAGTCCACTTGCCTCAGTCTCCCAAAGTGCTGGGATGACAAGCTGAGCCACCATGCCCAGCCTAAAATGTAATTCCTAACAATCTTGGTAGCGATTTTGCATATTCCAGAATTTGTTGGTTTATCCTCTTTCTATTTTTTTTTTTTAATTACTTTCCTTCAGGGATTAACTCAATCTGGGAAAAGCCTTATTATTTTAAAGTGTAGATAACATGCAGTGCAGAAGAACTATCACAGCAAATCAAAGGGCCAGGAGACTGAACACAGAGTGACCGTGTTCAGAAGTCCCCAGGGTCTTGACTAAGTGTGTTACTAAGAGGCTAGTGAGATTGTCGTCTTCTCAGTTTTAGGAATTGGTGATTATAAAACATTTAACTCAGCCGGGCTCGGTGGCTCAGCTTGTAATCCCGTGCCTTGGGAGGCTGAGGTGAGTGGATTGCCTGAGCCCGCGGGTTCGAGACCTGCCTGGGTAACTTGACGAGACCTCATCTCTACAATAAACCAAAAATCAGCCGGGTGTGGTAGCGCGTGCCTGTAATTCCGGCTACTCAGAAGACTGAAGCAGAAGGATCGCCGGAGCCCAGCAGTCGAGGCTGCAGTGGCCGGAAGTGGCCACTGCACTCCAGTCTGGGCGACAGAGTAAGACTCCAACTCAAAAAAATAAATAAATAAAAAATAAAACATTTAACTTGTATAGTGTAGATTTTACCACCACTGTGAGATGCAGCATCAAAATTAGACACGTCCTCAAGGCATCATCTTGATTTCGAAAGGGAATTTCGATTATTATTATTATTTCTCAGTGTTTAATGTGTTCAGATTTTTACAGGCATATTTTTTCTCAACCTTGTGTGTCAGAGGGTCCTCGCTACAGATCGGGAAGTTGAGGGTCCAAGAGTCTGAGAAGCCAAGCTCCTCGCATCGTGCCCAATTGCAAGATCCCACTTGCAGGCTGCGCCATTGTTTATTGTTGATTCTGCTTAACTGGTCAAGCTGGGAATTGCTTGCCAATCCCCCTCCTGCCATCTCTTCCCCATCTCCCTCTTCCCAATTCCAGTGCTGCCCACTATTTATAGGTGTATTTGTTTGCATTTATGTCTTAGGGTCTTGCTCTGTTGCCCAGGCTGGAGTACAGTGGTGCAATTGATCATAACTCACTGTAGCCTCAAACTTCTGCACTCAGGTGATTCTCCCTCCTCAGCCTCCCGGGTAGCAGGGACTGTAGGCATGTATCACCACGCCTGGCTCCATCTTTTTACAAAAATATAAGTGCCGTGTGTTTTGCATGAAGGCTTATGGTAAGGCTCTGAATTCTCTGACAGAAGCCACCTGTGACGACCTATTTATTGTCACGCTTCTTGACTAGACAGGCAGAGTCCCTTTCATGTGGGAGGCTGCCGGGGGTCACCTGCCAGGTCCTTCCTTATGTGTCACCAATGGTCAGCTACAGTATTTGAAGGAAAAAGCGGAACCTTGCTCGGGCTTAATACGCGTTTCTACATTTAACTAATTTCTCCTTCTTTCCTTCTTAGCTGACTGTTAAAAGTCCATTATTTATTTCTTTACTTTTGCTTTGTTTCTTCCCAGAGTGACGCCCCTTTCCTCGCAGAATGTGGTGATTCATCACGGCCAGACCCAGGAGTATGTGCTCAAGCCTAAGAACTTCCCAGCCAAGAAGGTGATATCGGGAGAGCAGTCCACTGAAGGTTCGTTCCCTTTAAGATACGGGCAGATCAAGTTGCGGCCCCCTTTTCTGTGTGGGTATGATCCAGTCAACCCTTTTCCCAACTTCTAGCATCGTAGTTTAGAAACACTTTTTCAGTTTCGATGGCTTTAATGTGTCACAGTAGATAAAATTCAAGAGTCGTTAAAAAACCCACATTGGTTCCTAAAACAACCAGACAGCAGATATTTCTCTTGGTTTCCTTCTTCAGAGGAAAAAGCAGTTTGCCTGGAGTTTTGGAAATGATTCTGAAGTGACCTGCCTGTGATTCTGTGTCTGCAGGATGGCTCGGGTCCTGAGACATACTTGCTCTAATTTTAGGCCTTGTCGGATGTCTGCCATGTTTACATTGATCAAATATTTTCTCGAGTGAGCCAGCCAGGATTCATTCCTTGCGAAATGTCTGAAATGCCCTGCGTGACTTTCCGAGGCTCTCCGGCAGTGGGTGTTTTTATGTCATGAGGTTCCCCTGCTTTTCAGCCCACCAAGTAGGTGGCATGGCAGATCTGACTCCGAATTTGTAAGGCGCGATTGTATCAGGGACCAGCCTGGTGAATATCTTGCTATGTGGGAAGCTCAAGGACAAGCCTGGCTCGAAGGGCGGGGAATGTGATGATTTGTGGTTTAGGTATCACAGAGTGTCTGTAGCATCTGGAGAAAGCGTTCTGGAGCGAGGCGCAGACCAGCCCCGGGCCAGAATGAGACGCGCGCGTGCTCTCGTTCCAGCAACTTCCTGCCCTGTCACTTGCTGACTGATTGCCTGCCCCGCAGGTAATGAGACAGCATGCCAGTTGTGAGGTGAAGCAGGAGTGTCTTTCACCACCAGGAACGGCGTGAGGAGCTGTGATGGGGTTTTGACAACTGTTGAGCGCTTGCAAAGCCCGTGTCTTATGCGTCCGATTCCCTGTGCCTGCCCGTACCTCCCACTTTCTGTCCTGAACCCAAAGTGAAGGGTGCTACCCCCGAATGGGTCATTTAACACAAAGAGGATCTATTGGCAGGGGAATACATGGGCTTTTCACCTTTGAGAAGGTTCAGATTGGTCGCCAGTGACTGCACCCCGGAGCAGTGGTTTGGTACAGTTGAGTATGTTGGTGAGGAACACAGCCCTGGGGCCTTTGGGAAGGACAGAGAGGACACCATTTAGATCATCTCCTTGCCTTTGGGCAAGATCACTTCCAAGTCATTTGCCAATGAATAGGTGCACCTAGGAGGGGAGGCCCCCCAAAACAAATTTTATCAAAAATTGTGTCTTTATTCTCACATGTTTAAACTTCAGTCACCCTCAAAGTCCTTTCTGATTGATGCAGTACACCTGTCAAGATGCTTTTTCCACTGCTCAAAACAGGTTTTGAACTTGTTGATTTCGATGCCTTTTAGTGTTTCAGCCATTTTTTCCCCCACCTCTTACACAGGGGCGAAACGTTTCCCTTTGAGAACTCTTTTCATCTGAGGAAACAAAAAAAGTCACTCGGGGTGAGATTGAGTGAACAGGGAGGGTGGGGCATGGGGATCATGCTGTTTTTGGTTAAAACTGCTGAACACTCAGCATGGTGTGGGCAGGTGCTCTCGTAAATCACCCATATGCAATGGACAAATGACTTGAAAGAGTCTCCAAAAAAAAATTCACTGAAGACGAATGCAGTCTCTTACAACAATGCTAGCTGGTACATTGATGCCAATGGGCTCCTAGAGCACTTATCCAGCAGGGGAAGCCTGTATGACAAGGGGGCTGCCCTCCAAAAAATAATTCCAGGTTTTTTTGGGGTCCCCCCCCTTGTATCTTATTTTGAAAGATCCTTTAATTTAAGTACTCAACAGCCTTTTATATCCCTTGGTTGTGCATGTAATATTTTTCTAATCCTAATTGTAAAAATAAAACAAGAAGAGTTCCTTATTATCTCCTTGGTGTTTTATTTTTATTTATTTACTTATTTATTTTGAGTTGGAGTCTCACTCCGTGGCCCAGGCTGGAGTGCAGTGGCACACTCACGGCCACCCCAGCATCAACCTGCTGGGCTCCGGTGATCCTTCCACCTCAGCCTTCCAAGTAGCTGGGACTACAGACGTGCGCTTCCATGCCTGGCTAATTTTTTATTTATTGTAGAGTCAAGGTCTTGCCAGGTTTCCTGGGCTGGTCTTACACCCATGGGCTCAAGCAGTTCACTTGCCTCGGCCTCCCAAGGTGCTGGGATTATGGCTGAGCCACCGAGCCTGGCCTCCTTGATATTTTATATACTTTTTTTTAAGCTATCCAAAATTAGAATGCGAAAGAAAGAAAGTTTTAAAAATGTATGGTTATACTGGTAAGAAAGGGAATTCTGAATTAGATGGAGGTGTCAGGAAAGGATGGTTTGAGAACCGCTGGTATTAAGACTAGAGACTAGACTGTGGCTTTGGTTTGTTATCAATTATTTGTTATTGGAATGAAAATTCCCTCTCTCTCTCTCTCTCTCTCTCTCTCTCTCTCTCTCTCTCTCTCTCTCTGTCTCTCTGTGTGTGTGTGTGTGTGTGTGTGTGTGTGTCCTGAAACTCTCAAACCTTGGTTAAACTATGTTCTGGCAGATGAAACAATATTTTAGAAGACCGTGAAGATAAGTTTTCTATATGCGTATATGCGTTATTCACAACTTTCTCACTCATGTTGTATAAGTGTATTTTCCTCATGGTTGGGAGCTAATGAAGGAATGCAGACTAACTCGTGATCACAATGAGGGGGTTCTGGGCTCACACCCCACAGAAGATGACTCTTGTTCAAAAAGAGGCTCAGAAATTAAGTGAAAGGGTTAGGCATGGTAGGAAGCACAGGAAGGGGTGTGTGTCTATTTTTGCTGAGGCCAGAACTCCACCAAAAGCTGGAGAGTTAATTGGAAAGTTTTAGAAAGAGGTAATTTGGCAGGACCATTCAGGATACTGAAACAGCGAAACTAAGTAAGAACCACAATGGGAAGATTAAAATCAGGAAGGAGTTACAAGCAGTAGGAAGGACCTACATGTATCCTGTCTCCACACACTCCCTCCTGCTCTGCCCTAGGTAACAGGGGAGGCACCAAGAAAACCTGGCATGGAACAGATAGGGAGAAAAAGTTAATAAGGGAAGTCTGAGGAGGCGCAGAGGCTTTTAGTATGTCTACTTCCATCTTTACAGAAGAGCAAATGCAAACAGATTAACTTCTCCTTGTGCTGAAAGATTTGAAGTTCAAACCGAAGCTGATAATTTTGACTCTTTAGAAAACTGGAAGATTTTAAAGATCCACTGGGCATGGTGTATCTTGGGGTGAAGTTGAAGGGCTGATATGCCTTGTTGTGTTTCATGGCCATTGCTTTTAAGGAGCTGCTAGGACCAGGGAGAACATTTAGGTGGGCAGGAATGAGTGTTACTTTCCCCCTTTCAAAGGGATTAAGATAAATGGCCTACAGCAATTAATTACCAGTCGGTAGGTTTAATATTGACATCTTGCAAACAGAAATAATAATGCATACCCAGAGCTCTAAGCGTCGTGTAGTTTAATCGGCTCATGGGGGAGGGGACAGCAGTCTACAAGCCCTAAGGAAGAAGGATTTGCTGTTGACACCTGGTGAAAGAAGAGAGCATGGGTCAGAAGAAGTAGGAAGGGGATGAGGATGCGGGGATGGATTTATAAAGCAGAATACACACATGCATTGAGTGCGACACTCTCCAGGCAAAAGACATTAGAGGGAAGAAACAAATATTTTATTGGAATTTTCCGGAGTTTGGGTAACTGGACTCCCCAGCCCTGTTCAAGGCTCACTCACCATCTTTCCTGTTTTGATGCTGTGTACTTAACAGCCTTCAGAGTCACTTTGCAGGTAACTTGATGTCCTGGGTTGGGTGTTCTCTGGTCCCTGGTAAAGGATACTGCCAGCAGTTTAATAACTTGGTGCTGGCTCTGTCTTGTTGGGTTAAAAAACTTAATTTTAGCTGGGTGCAGTGACTCACACCTGTAATCCCAGCACTTTAGGAGGTGGAGGCAAGAGGATTGCCTGAGTCCAGGGGTTCAAGATCAGCCTGGGCCACTTGGTGAGACCTCATCTCTACAATAAAAATTAAAAAATTAACCAGACATGGTGGCACACACCTGTGGTTCCAGCTACTTGGAAGGCTGAGGCAGACGGATCACCAGAGCCCAGCAGGTCGAGGCTGCTGTGAGCATGCCACTGCACTCCAGCCTGGGTGACAAAGTGAGACTCTGACTCAAAACAAACAAACAAACAAACAAACAAACAAAAAATTTAATTTGCATGAGTATCATCTGGAGTAGGAGTTGGCAAACTTTTCTTAAAGGGCCGGATAGCAAATAGTTTAGGCTTTGTGAGTCAATTGAGGATGTTATGAAGGTGTTTATATGGCTATTTAAAATGTAACTGCTTAAAAATGGAAAAAATTGTTTGGCTGTCTGGGTTGGCTCATGGGTTGTGATTTGCTGGGTCCTGATCTAGAGACTCCCAGTTTTCAACTTACTGAAAACATCTAGATTTTAGACCATTCTGACTGGTGCCTGGAACATGACAGTTGAACCAAAAACTTCCCAAGAGACCCTGCTGGTAACTGTCTTTCCTCCATTGTCAATGTCCCCACCCTCCACACCCTGACAGTTCTCTGACACATCTTCTGTGAGTTTGAAGGTAGCCAGGGAAGCTCGCACCACCAGGGAACCACACGTATTGGATATCCAGTTTCTTTTCATGTTAAAGTGACAGCCCCATAGCAGTTGGGAAAGTAACGGATGTTACTCCTGGTTGTTTATCGAAAACCTTTCAATATTGGTGGAAATAACATTTGTATGGGATGTGCCTTATCACTGCATAGTATCACATTAAGATATTACCCGATTCCTCAAAAAAGTTACATATAGATTTACCATATAACCCAGCAATTCCACACCTATGTATATATCCAAAAGAACTGAAAGCGTGTGTTCACACAAAACCGTCTACACAAATGTTCATAGCAACATTATTCATCAGAGCCAAGAGAGTGGGAACAATTCAATGTCCGTCAACTACTGATGG